ATTTGAGTAAAAAATTATTGAAAACCAATATTCAGCGATTTTTAGTAATTAATATCTTGTTAACTATTGCGAAAATTGCAAAATGGTGCAGGACTTTTCAACTCAGTTTTTTATTAGGAATAGCAGTGTATGATTAGTGTACGTTATTTCAGATACACCCTGTATAACACACATCTGCAGAATATATATTCCCATAATATTAACAAATATTATATAATATTCTCAAAATATTATATTATTTTAATTTTCTAATAATATTCATACATTCTAGGAATATTTTGTGCTTATAGGGATGTTATTAATTAATAAATTATTAAATAAATACATATTTATAAATTTATATTGTTATTCAATATAATGAATTCATTAATTAAAAAACAAGGGCATAGATATAATTAATAACGCAATATAGTATGTAAATAACATAATATCGATAAAATTTTATAAATTAATAGAGCTAAATATAGATGGGATGTAACTATTAATTAAATAAAGAATTTGATAAAATTTTTTCACATTCTTATAATCTGTATTGAGAACATAAAGGGATTAAGCTATGACTATTCGGGAAAGGTTCAAGTCGAAATTATGAAGAGCCGTACGAAGACTAACGGGAAACCGAACCGGAAGTTGGCTATCTCACGGCGGCAGTAGCAGCACAAAGGGTGGCACTTAAAAATTCAATGCATTTCAAATGGGCTAGAGATCCGTCCTCAGGCGCCGCGAGCGGCGCCATTTTCACTCGCGCTGGCGCAGCCATTTGTCGAGCTTTCGTTTTTCAGCTGATCTGATGTCCTCTCTCTACACGTTTGGGGAAATTCCCGCTATTCTATGTAATGGCTCGTACAAATAACACGTAACCGATCGATTAGTTATCACTTTTGTTCGCCGATCGATAATACCGACAAATTACACTGACATAATAAAATACTAATTTGGAATTAATTAATTTCGAACTAAAGTTACTTTAATACTTTTAGTTCTTTATGTTAATTTAATTTTTCTTTCCAATTCTTTATAACAACTTTTCAAATTTCTAATTCTTAAATTAATTCAAAGAATTTATATTAATTTTCAAACATAAGACATGATAATATGATGTGTATTTTTATATTTCGTTTTTTTCAATTTTTGATCGCGAAATCAGTCAATGGCCTCCTCTTAATCATATGTAAGGTAAACCAAAAGATAATAACTATGGTAAACTATGGTACACACGAAAGTAACAAAACGTTATCTTAAATTTCTGACGAAGTTCAAACTTCTTCAAGTTTGTTTACAGTATCTAAAAAAAACAATGCTTAAAATTATGTTTAACTAACATATAGTTAAGTTAATTAACAGGTTACCGAAATAGAACATTTTTTTTTTTTGTTACAACGCTTTAAACGATATTTTTATAAACCGATGCAAACCGTTATAAATAGAAATCAAAAGAACAGAAGAGTACAAGAAATTAAATCGTGAATTGCTGTCGAAATACGACCGAGAGAACCTCTGTGATGATCGAGAGATCATCGATCGTCGGTCGTAATATAATCTTAACCGTGGTCTTTAACCGCGCAGTACGATTTGGGCCGCCATGGATTTATTTCCGCCGTTCGCCGTGCGCCAAATTTAGGACAGTATGCCATTGGCTTCCGCGTTTTGTATGCTGCGTAAGTATGCTTGTCACACGCGCTGCATACTTACGCAGCGCTTGCATCAACCGCCATTGATACAGACACGTAAACAACACCGGCTGACAAAATTTAATTTTATCTTCACCGAAAAAAATAACACTAAAATAAAATACTAATTCCAACTCTAAACTATTCTAATCTTAAAAAAAATACTAAACATGTATATGCATAAAAATATTAATGTATAAAAACATAAGTACTAATGTATGTATATTATAAATACATAAATATTAACTAGATAGCTTCCTATAAGTATAGATATTTCCATGTTTTATATCTAACTAAGTACATATTAGATAATCACAAAGAGTTTTATATAAAATAAATATCTCTTGATAATAAAGTATTTTGCAGCACGTGAAATAACGCAATTTCTTTATAAGATAATGTCGAAATATTCTCTTCATTTTCTTTCACGCCACAATAAATTCGTGACAATGTAGAAAATTGAAAAATTCGTACAATATTACTCTACCTTTTTAAAATAGAATGTGACGTTACAGGAATAGTAAGTAGTATAAATTTTACATTTTAAGTCATATCATTTTAAAAAACCTAGATATTAAGTAATAAAATTTCATATATATAATAAATAATATTTAATGAAAGAAATAAACGAATTAAAACGAGTTAGTCCAATGTTGCTCCAAAGATTACTTGACAAAAAAGTTTGCATATTATAGGATATATCAAAGGGGAGGGAGACATTTCCTTACATGTACTTTAATAATATTTGTATATTTTAGGTATTATAATAGGAATTATAACTGTATATTGTAATATTTATAATATTTTCTCTCTTAATTTTCATTCATAAACTATTTATTTGAAAAATTCAAAAAACTTTTAGAAAAACGTTGCACTATAAGCATTTCGAGAAAAGGGGGGTTAAACTGGCTAGTCAGCGGTGTATGAAAAGAGAAAAAGAGGATAGAAAGGGTGCTCTAGAGAATGAGAGAGAAAACGAAATGGCGGACTATCGATTTTTTTTATACCCAAGCAGCCTATGTGCGAATAGTGATCATGTTGGGGAGAGGGATCAGAGGGGGCGAGAAAGTTACACAAGGGCTGGCGTGACACAGAAACAACCAATGTAAAAACCTGCTGTTTTCTGTTACACACACACACACACACATCCCATGTTTGTGTTACATAACGCAATAACGTGTATTTGTTAAGTGTATTTTCTTTTTATCTTTGGTTCTTCCAGCTATACATACACATATATATATATATATCATTGTATTGTAAAAACGTCCCGCATAATTATCTTTCCACCTCCATCTTTCCTGCCCACGTGAAACGCATTGGTCGCCGCTGGTATATTCATTTTTTGTTTTCAGAAGAATTAATTTCGAAAAGGTTATAATATCATATTAAATGTTTTATATATTTTTCCAGTTTATTCCAGTTTATTTCTGACGGACTTTAATCTTGCTCGGATTTATATTTCCAATAAATTATAATTTTTTTATTCTTATTCACGCGTAACAAATTATTTTCATAAATTTAATTTATAAATTTACTTATGACGCATAAATTTAATGTATGAATGCGAATTTATCGTTCAAAGTGTATGATGTCTTCATCTTTAATATCGCTCATTTCTGACAAATGTTTAATTAAGCATCCAAAGAAGAAATTATTTTATGAGCATATTACTAATTAACAGGTTCATCAAATTACTAAACTAATAATTTGTTTTTACAAACCTAACTCTTTTCGACTTATGTAATTATATTTAATTATAGGTTATAATTATTAATTTATAATTTGTTTGTTATCCTTGTTTGTTACCAATAATTTTTAAATATAACATATAAAATCATTTATATTATAACTTTTAACACTCACCTATTTTTCTCCAACTCGTTATGAGTCGTTCTGAAAAAAAAAAAAAAAAATGTTCTTTACATTTTGCAAGAATGAGATTTACGATGAAAATCGCAACTCGAACTACGACAATAATATTTCTCCTCGCAGATATAAAAAAATAAAATTGAAAAAACACGAAGATTTATTGCATAACAAATATTGCAAAAATTTCAGCTACAAATTACTTGGAATAACAATTGAGACTTACAATAGTACGTGTAGCAATAATAATATTTGCATTTGGTTCTAAATCATGATTAAACTGCTAATTGACAATACTTTGGATTGTTGTACGCGAATAGCTCTATTCCGAAAGTTGCAATTTTATGAAATGCTTTTATAAAATAAATGTCTCTTTATAATCGAATGTACCATGTCAAAGTAATATGATGCTTCTATTGAGGTATATTTTGCAAAATATTTGCAATATTTTAAATTACAGCAAATGTAAAAAATTAATAATTCGAATAACATTTCTCTCTTTGATTTAAAAATTGAATATGAGACTGTTATAAAAATTGCTAACAATCTCTAAATTGTATATTTAAAAAGATTCATGCAAATGCGATGTAAATATTAACATTCGAAAAATATAAGGTTAAAAAAATATATTTAATTTTCAAAAAATTTGTGTAAATTTCGATGTGCCGTTTCATAAAAAGATATTTTAACAGACACGAACCTGCTGCCTTGGGACTTCTTCGTCTTTGGCCTCTTTGTAATCGTCCGCATATCGTCGGGTATTGGCATCGTTGAAGCATAGCCATGTTCAGCTTCTGTAATCAAAAAACGATAATCAATAAGTAGAACATAATTATATATTTATATGTTATACAAATTATTATATACAGCGTCATAAAGTTGATGGCCTAATCCTTTTCGTTTGCTACAGCGCTCAAAATAAGCGCAAAATAAACCGACCCAAATTCATTCGTTTCCAAATTATTAGATATTTTCTCCAATTACGTACCGTCGTTTTCAATTACGCGAATAATCTTTGTAAAGCACAATTCTATCTTTATTTTTAACGATATTTTTGTATCTTCAAAGGCAATACATACTATATATTTAGATATACATACAAAGAAAACTTGCGACATGACTCGCAAGAGAATCAGTTTTCGAAGCTTGACAGTTTCGTTAGAGAGCGAGCGATGGACAGGCGCGATCGACAGTAAGTCACGTTTTATTTTCTTAAATTGTTTCACATTTTATTATCGTTTCAGGAAAGTATCACGTTTGATCCAAGTACAATTGCACTACGTTATATATTTCTCCTTAAGAGAATAAGGCCCGTTTCTACCAATATAGATTAACTTTAATCTTGGTTTCAACTTACTCTTCATCTTTTTCTAATTCTTAGAACTAGAAAAAGATGAAGAATTTGTTGAACCGAAATGAAAATTAAACCACATTGGTAGAAACGGGCTAAGCGTTTGAAACGCGTGAATTTTCAATAAGTGCATGCCGCTAAATTAATCAATCCAATTCTTATCAAACATACGAACATTAGAAACGTAAATACAATGTTTATCTTTCTAAAAATAGACGTCAAATTAAATCGAGATAAGCAAATGCATCGAGACGAATCGAAATAGACGCATTGGAATAAATTTGTATAAATAGAGACCGGGATTAAATTAAGACTGACAGAGATACTCCAAATCAGATAAAAATAGAGACTCTAGAATAAATTTCCATAAATAAAGAGGTCGCGGTTAAATTGAGACAAATCTTAGATCGATATATACTTTCTCAGATTTGCTTTCATCGGTTCACTGAAACGTCAGTATTTTAACAAAAATATGCAGAAGAGGTATACACGTGAAACGACTCATTCCAACGAACATTTCGCTAATAACGTAACCGCTAGTAATGTAATAATTAGTTGAAAACGTACGAGTCCAACTATTTCTGTAACGCCGTATGCGGTTTCATGGTCATGAGGTAATTACGTGAAAACATATCGATTCTCGCTACATTCCTCGAATTTTCGATGATTTAAAAAATCGTAAAAAAAAAAAAAAAGGAACGTACGTCAGGATAATCACAAATTTCTCATCTTAAAATTCTTTAACTTTTCTCTGAATTTCAGAGAAAATTTCATGATTTTTCTTGATGTGCTTTCAGTAAGATTTTGAAATGTTTTGTATTTTTATCCTAATTTTTGGAAATCGTCAAATATTTTATTAAATGAACAATTTAACATAATGTAAATCACTATTAATGTATATAATAAATTGCTGATACCGCTTTCATTTGAGATTGTTAAATTAAATAATAGTATTCCAAAACTGTATAGGTGTGATGTATAACGCATGTTAAATTTCTTTGAAGCCAAGAATTTTCCAAAAAATTTTGCAAAATTCCTTGACTTTCTCTGATTCCCCTGACATTTCCCTAACTTCCTTGATTTCCAGTTTTGTAGCAATTCCGTACGTTCTTGACAGAACTACGTTATGCTTTAACAAGATACGCAATAATGCATAATTGTCGAATGACGTTTATTTTATACAAGTATCATTAAATCGAAACTTTGTTATATAAGTGCGGTCATGAATATCTCAACACTTGAATTTGCACACGTACCATGGCATCGTCGAAGCGCGTACTTCCTGACTAAATGTTCACGCACATCGTAACCGTTATTCGGTTGTTCGAAAATTATTTTTAAGGCTACAGCATACAAAAAAATGTAAATAATAAAACGTAAGAAAATCATTTTTAATTTTTAATTTACTACTGTTTATGTTGTTACTTTACGCTTTGTATTGTAATTGGCCGATTCGCTTAATACTACTTACGCTTACTGCTTAATTTTTTTTATGTGCCATAACCTTTACTGTGTTATTTTTACCGTGTTACGTTACTACTACAGATTTATTATTTTTATTCGTTATACAAGCACAGATATGTCAAACTGCGAAATGTCGCGTCCGACTGCTTTGAGACTTGCCTTTTTTCGAATTATCAACGCACTAAGAAAAAAAATTGTCCATTTGACTAAATTAATTTAGTTCGCCTTTATATATACAGGGTGGGGGGGTCCACTTAAATCGACCATCTGAAATATCTCGCTTATTTTGATATAAAAAAATGTTTCAAATGAAAGTGGAACGGTTTCGAGGGGGACGTGTTTTGGTCAAGTTGTTTCTTTTATAGGTGGAGGCGTCAAAAAGATATGAAGGTCACCCTCCACTTTTTTAAATAGAATTGTATGATTTTTTTTTACACAATATGATTCCTCTAATTATTCTGCATATAAAAGTATTAGGGTAGTGATATAAAAACACCAATAGTTTACGAGATATTTTACACTTTACTCTGACATACGTTGACATAAAGTGTTAAATAACTCGTAAACTATTAACTTTTTGATAATCGTACCTTAATACTTTTATGAACAGAATGATCAAAGATGAATCAGTTGGTGGAAAGAAAACACATAGTTGCTTTAAAAAAATATGACAGCAAAATGGATCATTTTTTAAAGCAGCTATGTGTTTTCTTTCCACCAACTGATTCATCTTTGATTATTCTGTTCATAAAAGTATTAAGGTACGATTATCAAAAAGTTAATAGTTTACGAGTTATTTAACACTTTACGTCAATATATGTCAGAATAAAGTGTAAAATATCTCGTGAATATTATATAAACTATTGGTGTTTTTATATCACTACCTTAATACTTTTATACGCAGAATAATTGGAGGAATCATATTGTGTAAGAAAAAAATCATACAATTCTATTTAAAAAAGTGGAGGTGATCTTTTTGGCGTCTCCATCTATAAAAGAAACATGATCAAAATACGTCCCCCTCGAAACCGTTCCACTTTCATTTGAAACCTTTTTTTATATCATCAAAAATAAGCGATATTTCAGATGGTCGATTTAAGTGGACCACCCAATATATGTGTGTATATATACAGGGTGTTAGTTAAGTATGTTGCTATACTCAATAGAGCGATTCTTTGGTTTATTTCAAGTAAAAAAAGTCGATATAAACATGTGTCCTAAACGGCTTAGTTTCCGAAATAAAAAAATTTAAACGTGTAGTAATAATCTGTTTATTTGAAAGAAATACAGCTTGAACTAGTCAAAAACTAGTCAAAAACAGAAAAACAAAAACACAGGCTTCAGTTCTTCCGATGAAATAAAACAATTAGATGAATTGTTGAAAATGTCCACCTTGCGCCATCGAGCCTTCTTCTCAAAAATTGACGTACACGCTCAAAGATCAGAAGACTGAAGTCTATTTTTGATTTTGTGACCTTGACTTTGACTTTGTCACTTTGTTTACGGTTGTGCGAATGGTAACTCACGTGAAGCAAGGCATATTTATGCAGGAAGATATCTCCAACGCAATTTATCGTTTTGTCAAACATTTACGAACATTCACCTGTATTTCGGAAACTAAGCCGTTTAAATGGACTTTTTTTACTTGAAATAAACCAAAGAATCGCTCTGTTGAGTATGGCAACATACTTAACTAACACCCTGTACACACACACACACACACACACACAAACTAAATTAATTTAATCAAATAAACAATTATTTTTTTAGTTGATGATAATGCAGTCATCATGCGTGAATATTAGGGTAGCCTTGATACGCGTGCAACTTGACGCGTTTTCATTCTAAACATTTGTCACAAGACAAAAAGCGACGCTACAGTCAATCGAATATCTTTCACTCTTACGGGAAAGCGGGAAGTTGATTGGTCGACGCATCGCTTCTTGCTGCGCGGCAAATGCGTTTCGCGTCATATGCGCGCTCGGTGTGTCAGGGGACCCTTTACGGGGATCCCACGTGTGCATGGCGACTCCATTGGAAAACTCCCAATGTGTTACGACGCACGAAGGAACAGACGCGCGCGCGCACGTCGAAACGCGACGTGCGTTGCCGCATGCACGCGGCGAGGACATCGCTCTAGTGCGACGCAGCGGCATTATAAGTGGGATGATAAAATGAGATCATCATCGCGCTGCGTACGATCCAACGCGAAAACAAAGATAGTCACGATCGAATACTCGTAAATCGTGCGATTGAATTTCTTTCGAAAGAACAGACTGCACGCTGAGAAGAACGCGTCCGTTGTGTCGAGAATTTATAATCGACCATCTCCACGAGCTCAGGGAGGTTCAAATCCTGATCTGACAATGGCTGCGTTTCGTAAAACGCATGATGCATCACTGTATCCTTGTTATTCACCGAATGTTAAACGAGGATGAAATGAACCGTGCGTGTCATGCACACAGAAAAATATCATTCTATTGTTAAGAAAATGATTGATTACTCAATTGACTTCCTTTCTTTTAAGTAACAGTTATTTTTAACAAGAAATATTTTCTCGATAATCTTAAAATATACTTATATATTACAAATTTGAGAAAACTCATTATTTTGTACTCAAAACAAGAATTTTCTTTTAAAGAATATTATAAAATTGATCGAAGAAGCGATTTTGTATAATGAACAAATCGAATTTTTTTTTAATTTAATAATCTTTATCGAAGTATTAAACTTACTAAGATTCAGAATATACGAGTATTTTGAATAAATTTCACGCTTCTGATAAACTTTTATGATAAATTTGCGAATGTATCAATCTTTCAAATACTTAATTAATAATAATTAATAATAATTAATGAATAAATAAATAATTAATAATAATTACTTGAAACAAGTAATTATTATTTGCCTACAGCATGTATTTTTCTGTATGCATTTTATGAGACGGAGTCAATATAGGACATAAAATTTCAGAAGCTTTTGGAGCTAACATTTGGCGACAGTCGCGCGATAACAATTTAAAATACACATATCGAAGTCAATTAATTAACTAACAAAAGCAATCCGTTCTTAATAGAACTCTACCAGAGTCAATAATACCATCCTGAAAAAACTTGAAGAAACAAAACAATAAATGGACCAACAATGACATAAAACTACTCCAAAATTTTCTAAACCTTTTTATATTTAATAACTTAAAAAGAAATATATCAAATTGTGATAGTGAAATTAAGTTATAATTTCTGAGGGGGAATTTTTCTGAAATTTTTAAATCCTCCGAGTTCATTTGTAATCGGTTATTCCATAAAATTGAAAAATTTTGTTCTACGCAAAATCGTGATTAAAGTGAG